GAAAGGAGGCCAGGGACTTTCCAGTCTCCTCAGAGAGAGACACTGGCCCAGGCAAACACTGTAGGCATGGACATGTATTAAGGAGAGTGGATAATGGGCTGGACCACAGGCAGGTCATTTGAGAAGGCTTCCAGGAGGAGTGGCCCTGCCTTCCCACCATGACCTGGAGTAAAGCTAAGACTGTCCCCTTCACATTCCAAACCCTTCCCTCTTTCCCCTGCTCTGAGTCCCCACCATCTTACCAAGAGCCACACTCTACCGTAGAGCCCAAGGCAGGCTGAGATGTGCTCACTGGACCGTTCACCCCATAAATATGTATGAAATCACTGCTACCCCAGACCTGCCAAATGAGGAGCAGGACAAGGAAGGGAAACTGAAACTATGACACAGGGATGCCATTCCTGTAAGGCCATCCTACCAGGATGCAGGGGCAACCCACACACCTCTCCTTCAACAGGGCCGAGAGACTGGGAAGCCTCAGGCCAGGATTCCAACTCCAAATAGGCAGGAGACAGTGAGAGGGACAAGCAAACAGGAAGTTGAAGGAGATAGGCAGGACAGCCAAGACACACAAAGGAAAGAGGAAGATCGGAGGTGGGAGGGATGACGAGAGGAAGGGAGGAGAGAAGGCACGAGAGCAGAAGAGAAAGAGGAGAGAGTGCTGAAGTAAGCTTCCACTTTCTGGGATCCAAAACTGTCCCTTGCTTTTTTAAGGACAAATCCCAGAGGTATCTGGACATTCCCATCCAAGCCTTTCCCTCCTCTGATCACTATGAATCACAGGCTACTTGATGGCACATAACAACAACAACAGGCAATCAGTCAGGGAGGTCTGGTATCCTAGTGACAAGAAGCTGCTCTGCAATACCGAAGGCATGCGGTTCGAAACCACCAGATTTTCTCCTGGAGAAGGAGGGGCAATCTCCTCCTGTGCCAATCAGATCTGATTCGACAGTACACAACAAGGGAAAAAAAAACAGGTGATGAGGCAAAGATGATAAAGCTTTATCTCACATACTTTGGACATATTGCTACTAGAGGCTGTTCCTTGGTGAGGACATCATGGTTGGAAAGGTGGAGGGACCACAAAAGAGAAAGATCTTCAACCAAATGGCTTGACACAGTAACATCAGGAATTGTGAGGATGGCACATGACAGGACAGAGTTCAGATCTGCTGTTATAGGGTTGCAATGAGACATACTTGACTCGACAGCACCTAACAACAACAGGTGATCAGGATTACATCCTGCTGCCAGTTACAGAGCTCTAGTGGCTTGTGACAAGGAGTTGTGCTGTCAATCCAAAGGTACACAGTTCAAATCCACCAGTGGTTCCTCCGGAGAAAATGGACAAGCTCCTCCCACACCACTGACAGCCTTCAAAAACCCACTGCATGAAGAGCTATGAGTTGGTTCCAACTCAATAAGAGCCTGAGAGTTTTGACCTACTACAGAATGGAGTGCTTGGTAACCCAGTCCACAGGCAGCCATGCTGCTAACACAAAGGCTGAGCCTCTCTGGTAGTTTGAATGCCTCAGAAACTGGCTCCAGAAAACTCCTTAGAGGCATGAGAGTTGGTTTTAACTCAATGGCAATGAGGTTGGAGGAGTTGGGCCAGTTACAGAGATCCAGGGCAGGGCGCAAGGACAGTGGAGGAAGGCACAGAATGGAAGGCTTCGGTCTCTGGAACACATGGGGATCAGAGATAACAGGGCTCCGGAGGGACACAGCCGCCCAGACACTGTCTCCAGCTGGAGTCCCCCACGCTGCCACAAGGCCAGGCTTTTCCTCCAGCCGGAGTAGCAAGCAGGTGTGCTTCCTTGCACAGCCAGGAGAGATTTGGGGACCATTCGAGTGTGCAGATATGCCCTCCCATCATTCTCCCAGCCCTTATGGGCTTCCTGCTTGTCTGCAGGGGCCAAGTCCCTGGGCAGCCCAGGCTCTGCACTTGGGTCAGAAGAGGGTCTTGTCAGGTCCTCCGCAAGGGTGGGGGCTCTCACCATCAGGGGTTGAGCCTTACTCAGAGGTGAGTGACTGGAGTAGGAGACCCCAAGGACGCCAGGTCAGAGGTAGAGTGAGTCATGGGTGGTGCTAAGGAGAAGGGGCATGGGGCGGCAAAGGGGAGACGGAGGTAGGGCTGGGCGGTTCCGTGGAGTTGTTTGTTTTGGGCTTTTTCGCTGGCTGGTCCTGTTTGGCAGCCAGGGTTTTTACTGTCAAAAACACCTCTAGGACTGCACCCAAGGAGACTCTGCAGACCGGAGGGAGAGAGGCAGGTCAGGACCCTGAATCCTTCCCTAAAGTCAGAGCCCCAGCTGGAGGGAGAGAAGCAGGCCAGGACCCTGTGTACTTCCCTAAAGTCAGAGGCCTAGCCAGCATGTTCTCCACTTCTCCAGAAGAGAAGGCTACTCCCAAGGAAGGGCCATGGTCAGGCCCCAGAGACTGGCCTGGCAGAGCTAGCCTTGAAGCCAGGGACTTGGCAATTAGCCATTACCTGTCAAAACTCAGAGACTGACTGAAGCCAGTGGATCAGCAAGGAATAACAGACTTAGGAGAAAGTACGCATTTGGGAATGGCTAATGGTTAAACAGCAATGAGGATCATGTTAAATGTCACCAAACTGTACATGAAAACTGTTGAAATGGTAAATGGTTTCTTAACTACATACTTATCACACCAAAAGAAACAAAATAAGAAAAAAAAAATATATACACACACACACACACATATACAGAAAGAAGTTCTTGTGAGAATTAGGTAACCAGTCTAAAGAAAATTCAGGAGCAGAAATGCCCTACTCTGAGCCCCAACAACTAAGAAAATAGCTTCAACTACCTTTTTCAGGAAAAAGCCCTAGTTGTGCAATGGGTAAAGCACTCATCTGCTAACCAAAATGTCATTGATTCAAACCCACTAGCTGTTCTGTGAAAGAAAAGACTTGGCTCCCCTGATGGGGTAGGTCTACTCTATAAATTGGAATTGACTTGACGGCAAACAGCAATAACACTTTCCAGAGACCACAAAACTAAGGGCTGTGAGTAAAGTTTCCGAACTCCAGCTATCTGGGTTTGAGTCTATCATGAGGAAGTCGTGTGGCCTTGGGCCAGTCACTTGTCCCTCCTGAGCCTTCATTTGCTCCTCTGTAAATTGGAGGTATTGAGGACAAAGCATCTACTGCATGTAGTGGTTGTTGAGATACATCAAGCTTTTGGGACATACCGAGCACATAGGCTGTTATTTGACATGAGCAGATCCAGATGCCTTTCCCTGCTCCCTCCCTTCCTCAGAGAGCAGAGGGGTAGCTGGCATGGAGGAAAACACAGTGCTATGTTTGACCACATGCCATTAGGATACCAGGTCAGAGTAAAAATACTGGGAGCCAGAGATGAGCCATGCAGGTGGGTGTTGAGTGGAGGAGGGGCTATATGTGTCAGAAGTGACCTAGTCACCCAGAAGCGGCTCAACAACCTACCTACGCCCCCCACCAGATCTTCTACATCCTGGTGAGCCAAAATGGTCTAGTGGGGCAGGGGGAGGAAAAAATTTGGACCAGAAACATGGTGGTTGTGGGTGGACTCTAACTCAGCAAGTGGCTTTTCCCTCGAGCTCTGGCTCTTCTGGCCCCAGATAGGGCCAGAACCCCTTTCACCCAAGTCCCTCCCAGTCCAGTGTCTCTCTCTGAGGTGGTCCCCAATTCTGGGACCACGTCTCACTGTTCAGCCCAGAGTGGCATGCCTAGTTCACAGAGGACTCTAGAACCATTCAGCACTGGCAAGACTGTCAGCTTTCATAGCAGGATGTATGTAGCTCAGAGGCTAGAGTTGGCCCCTCTTCCAACAAACCCAGAAGGCCTCTAGATGTGGAAAGGAGTCTCAAGGACCAGGGAGAACGGGTGAGGGGTGTCCTAGGCTACTGACAACCTGAAGCCTCTCCAAAATGTTTCTGTGAGAGAAAAATGATGCCTTCTCTATTTCTATCTACCTCATATATCAGCTCAAAGACAGAAAAGAGAGAAGAGAGGAACAGGGTTGGGAAGCAGGGAGAGAGAGGGAGATATATTCCTACCAATAGCCCTTGAACAAGAAGGGCAGTTCACTGGGTGCCCAGCTTCCCCAGAGACACAGGCCAGAGGTCAGCACCCTATCTTAACCACCATTTACCTAGGCCAACTTTGTGTCATGTGTAGCATACACTGCTTCCAGTAGCGTGGCTGCTGTTGCCCTCATTTTACAAACAAAGACCAGAGTGGGCCTGACCAGCAGGGAGCACACAGCTCAGCTGGGAGCCTGGCTCTCATTTTTTAAAACCAAGAGCTCTCTGCTCTGCAATGACCATCTTTACCCCTCCAGCCTGAGACAGTGAGCTGCACATAGTAGGTGCTGGATGAATGATGGTCCAACCTGACAACAGGAAGAAGGAAGGAAGAAAGGAAAGGGGAAGATAAGCCTGGGAGACTTCGCGGCCCCTAGAAAATAAATAATGAAGGAGCTATTTTCCGATGCCAGGCTGGCAGGGTGCCCAGGCCGGCTGCCCTACACTCAGCTCAGGGCTGTTTCTTGCCTCATCTTTTCCAGAAGTATGTGAGCGCAGTTACGTCAGCCTTCAGGTATGCAGCTGAGGTTTGCAGTGAGAGGCGCGCTCTCTCCTCTTTCTTTCCTGGTTGACTCGGCCCTTGCTCTCTCGTGTCCCTCTCCACCACCCCTACCCACCCAGCCAGCCCTGCCTCAGCCCTTTCCCCACCGCCAACAAGTCTGGCTTGGCTTGAGGCTCCGGGGAGGCGGTGAGCGGGCCCCCTGTGCAGGCAGCTCCCCACCTGGGGAGAACAAGCCTGCTGGTGCCACGGGGGAGGGGCGGGGAGCCACATCATCTAACAGGTTGGTCGGGCTGGGAGGCGCCCCGCCCTCCCGGGCTAATGAGCACTGTACGACAGGTGTTTGCTCCTCAGTCCCCAGCCTGCGCTGGCCGCGACCAGAACCAGCCACCAGCTCTCGCTCGGCCACTCGCTCAGCCCGCGCCCTCCCCGCTCCCGGGCCGGGGGACGCGATGGCTTGCCGCTCCTGTGTCGTTGGCTTCAGCAGCCTCAGCAGCTGTGAGGTGACCCCAGCGGGCGGCCCCCGGCCTGGGACCTCGGGATGGGACAGCTGGGGGAGCCCCGGGCCAGGCTTCAGTTCCCGCAGCCTCACGGGCTGCCGGCCCACTGCCACCATCCCCAAAGTGACTTTGAACCCCAGCCTGCTGGTGCCCCTGGATCTGAAGGTAGACCCCGCCATCCAGCAGCAGAAGAACCAGGAGAAGGAGGAGATGAAGATCCTCAATGATAAGTTCGCCTCTCTGATCGGCAAGGTGAGCAGAAGGGGAGGGGATCCCCAAGCTAAGGGTTGCTGGGCTAGGCAGGTGGATGCGGTGTATTCCTCAGCATCTCGCCCCACCCCTGCTCCCAGCCAATGGGGAGTCAGCATGGGCCTCCCCAGGCTACTCTGAGCAAGCAGATGTGGAGGGGTGTTTCCGATCTATCCTGGCACGTGCGAGAGAAAGAGGCATCTGGATAATAATGCTGGCATGGCCTCCCAGCAGCCTCAGTCCCAAACATGGATCAGCATAAAGTGTCCTCAGTATGATCACGGGTTGATGGAGGCGTGGTGTGGGTTCTAATACCCAGACAAATGGGCAGCAAAGACGACTTTCCAGGAATCCACCCTTACGTTCATCCCTCAGCTCACCGACCCGGCAGCATCTCTCTGGAGGCAGCTCTGCTCAGGGAGGGGGCGTATGAGGGACAGTCTCCAGGAGGATGCAGCTTTGGCAAGTCAGGAGATAGGAATGCAGAGGATAGAAGCTGCCTGCTTCCTACTGCTCCACCCCTAGGAGGAGAGGGAGTGAGTCCCTGAAATCCCACTCCCCATGCTTCCTAGCCCCACTGCCCACAGCCCACATGCTGTCTCTGCACCTCAGCACAAAGACTAGTGCCTTGGGCAGCTCCGTCCACCTCCCCATACTGCTCCTCACCCATCTCTCCCTAAAAGCCTCTACTGGCCATCCTCCCAGCTCTCCTCCCTTCAGCCCTACCCAAGAACAATAATCATTAGAGCTGCAGTTGATCATTTGGTTACTATGTACCAGACTCTGCTGTGTGGAGGAGGATATAGTTCTATTTTTCTCAATAACCTGATAAAAATAGACATTTTATACCCATTTTACAGATGAGGAAAACTCAACCTTTCCCCCAGAAACCAGGGCTACACTTCTGCCCTGGCCTAGACCTCGGTGGCACCATGGCCTCCTAGATTCTGTGCTCCTCTGTCTATTCCCACTCTCCACATTAAGTGAGAACTGGAGAGAGGCTGAGAGGGAAGCAGAGAAAGGAATTTAACAGTTTTGAGCATCAGCCCATGCCTGGTTCTCTGCAGAAACATTACAAATGTGATGCAATTGAGCATACATAGCAACACTCTGGCTAACATTGTCCTGAATCTGCCAAGGAGAAAACTGAGGACCAGAGAGGCTAAAAAGTTACCCAAGGTCACACAGCTGGCAAGTGTGATAGTTTGGATTTGAGCTTAGTAGACTCTGCAGTTGGAATCATTACTTTTCCTCTCCCACTCACATGCCCGCACCAATTTCCTCCTTACCCACCTCTGGAGCCCCCGAGGGTGGAGAAGGACCACCGTGAACCTCAGCCAGCATCCCCTCGCCCAGCCCTGACCCCAGAGCCCCTCACTGCCATACTGGTTTTCCCTCAGGAAGTAGCCCGGCAGCTATCACAATCGGGAGGCAGGTTCCTGCAGAGCCTCCTCCTCTCCAAACCCAGTTTAATCCCTTAAAAGGAATGCTTTACTGAGCTATGTAATTTGGCTCTGATGAGTGGCCTTCTTCCTCCAACACCAGAGCTGATATCACGCTGTGCCTGTGCCTTGGGGACAGCAGGGATGTGCACACAAAGGGCCATCGACCTGGGTCAGAGGTCCTGTGTATGTCCAGGAAAAAGGGAAATGCCTTACAAACCTTCAACAGGATGGGCACCTCCCAGCCCTTAAGCTTTGGCCTAGGAATGGTGGCATTACAAAGAGCGGTTGGTGCCAACCATCTTGGGGGCCTGGTTACTGGGGTGCTGCCCCTTAGAGTCCAGCTGACCCACCTGATCAGCTATTTGCTGGTGCCATGTTCCTCCCTGTCTCTGAGGCTGTTGAGGGCTTAGGTGAAGCATGCAGCAGTTAAGGGTATGAAATCTGGGGTCACTCTGTTTGACTACCAATTATTCTGCTGATCAGCTATGTTCTCGGGAAAATCATTTACCCCTCTGACTGCAGTCCATGGGTGTAATGGGCTTGTAAAATTAGATGTGATCCTTATTAAAAGCACTTAGAACCACCTGGAACATGGTAATTGCTTTACAAGTATTTGTTAAAAAGAAAATAAATGGGCCCTCGTCCAGGGAACTCTTGAACTTCTGAGTCCCTTCTAGACAGAGCCTAGGAAAGAGGCGAGGGAGAGGGCCTTGTTGGAGGAAAGATGGCTGGAGTTCATGGGTAGGCAGTAAGTACCCCATGGGAGTCCCCATGGGACGTAAAAGGCCTTAAAGCCTGCAGGGTTGAGGGCTCTAGACAGAGGTACAGGGACACTCTTGTCCCATCTTCCCTTCTTGGCCTTCAGAGTCACTGACAAAAACAAGTGCTGAGAGCTTCAAGGAGGAGGCAGGGAGAAGTGTCTCATAAAATGACTGAGGGGTCCTGAACAGTCTTAGTTCAGCCACTAGCTGGCTGTGTGTCCTTGGGCAAGTCACTTACCCTATCTGTGCCTCTGATTCTTCTTCTCTGGTCTGTTTGTGTTCTGAGGATGACCAGTGGAAGGGCCTGTGAAGCTGGAGAAAAAGTGAAGAGAAAATAGCAAAAAGAGGGGTCCTTAGGAGAGGGAGACCAAGAGAAGGTTGTGCCTGGATTCTTCCCTTCATAACAGAGGGCAGAGGAGATGGACTTGGGACAGGAGTAGGGCCCTCCCAAGGTCAGCCTAAGGACCTTAGAGAGTACCCAGTGGAAGGCTTGGAGAAGGAGGGACAGGGACAATGTCTATTCCTAAGCCTGAGAGACCTTAGGAAGTCACTGGAGCTTCTTGCTATCTGTAGCAAGAAGGCACAAATCAGGGGATCTTTCTGGGCAAAGCCAACCTCTGACTAAATACCTCCCTCACCTGAAGAAAAGGACCAAATGCCCAGAGGCACACTATGCAGACTCACCGACCTGAGGTGTCATGCGTTAGGGATCTGACCACCCTTTGCTGTATTTGAACCTCCTACTTCAAGGAGGCCCCCCGGCCAGGCTCCCAAGCCTAAAAGAGTACATCTTCCCCCACAACCCTGCCTGCCTGACCCTGCTTCTCAGCTGGGCAGCCCTACGTCATACAGCTAGGCCACAGTGAGTTCCAGGCCTCTATTTTCTCATCTGTAAAAGGAGGAGGGATGAGGGAATAAACCAGGCATCTTTGGCTTTCTGAGGCCTCTCCTAGAGCTGCCACTGTGTGAAGGAAGGAGGGGAGGGAAGGGGAGAGAAAGAATCAAAACAGAGAAAGAAAAATGAGTGATGGGAGGTAGGCAGCTTGATAGGCTGGATGCAATTTCCCTGGCACCTCACAGCTTGCAGGGATTAGGAGCCCTCCCCGGCCTTTGTTCCCAGAGGGAGAGGCCTCCTGCAGG